TCATCCTGGACATCCTAGAGTGTCCTGCAGGTGATGTCCTAGGGTCCATCCAGGATGTCTGCAAGTTAAAGGTGACTCATAGTTGAACATGATATCAAACACAACTCTAGTTCAAGTGAAGCGTAGCACTGCAATCATGGACTACCGAGTTTTTCTCTTGCTGAAAACATAGTTCATGAGCCTTTACAGTCGAAACTTAATGAATTCTTCTCATTCATCGTGGACCTCCCGGTTTTCGCAATTATTAGTTTTTACCTCTAAATAAAAATGTATGACTAGTTGGGACAAGGTAAATGTTAAATGCCTTTTAATGACTCTCCCTGGCTACTCCAGTCTACATAGTATGAATAATGCTTTTAACAATGGTTTCATGCCTTGCATCAACCTTTTACATGTTGATGTATTTTTAACAGAGGAATGATAAAAAAATGTTAATATCTCTGGCGACTGGTTATAAAATTATTATCGATTCTAGTTACTAGTATATAATGTTAAAATTAATTTACAACGTACTTTAAATGGTATTCATGTGTAATTACTATACATAATTGAACTATAAAAAGAATGTAAATATCCATAACAAATCACATTTTTATTTCATGTCAAACGTTAATTAATGCAAGTTATTTATTTGATAAAAAATAGCTAAAAAAAGGTACAATACACCAATTAAAATTATTGTTACTATTTTTCGCAAGTAGATTGTATGTTAGCGACCTATGCAGAGCGTTAGCCTTGGGTCGCCGGTGACTCTGGTATTGCTATTGACATTGGATTAGCCCCCCTGAGCCCCCCCCCCCTCGGTGTCCCCCCCACACCGTGTCGAACCGCCGCAAACCACTTGCAAAGTTTATGTCTTCGTTTGTCATTGCACGTTGTGTGTAACCTGTAACATTGGAGGCATTGTCCAGCTACAATGTTTGTTTTAACAAGGTCCAATGTGCTTTGAAAACGTATATTGGATTTTTTTCAATTTGTCGACAATTTTGAAACAATATATAGTTTTGATTCAAGTCCTTGTCCTGAGAAACGATGTGTAAACATTGTAATCAAAATGTAGCAAGATTTAATGGCGATGAACCTATGTTATTGGTGTTATTAACGATAACATGTTAACGTTTATATTATAAGTGAGTTAGTTAGAAAAGAATATATACCATCTGCCAATTATCTGGTTTAAAAAAAAACGTGTTACGAATTACTAACTACTAAATATAATGTGTGTTTTATGCTGATTAAATTTTAAATTGGCAAATGCATAGTAAAATTCGAATACGTTTGGGGCACTCAAACACATCGACACGCATTGAATTTGAATGTACTGTTTCCTCAATTGGATGCTTAAAGCGTCATTTAACTTAGCATGAATATGACAAGAAGTCTACTTGCAACATTTAAAGTACCGGTAACTGTATCAACGTTTACACATCCACCTCAAATTTCCTAAAAATGAATTTAAAACGAAATTTGTTCAAAGTTGGCGAAACACAAGTATTATATTTGCGTCAACCTTCCAGTGAACGAGAATTGTTATGCAATGTGAAGCTCCGAAAATACAAAAGACGATGAACGGTCGTGACATTTATCATATTATTTTGGAAAAGTCTGAATCATAAGTGACAAGTAGAGATGTGTTATGTGAAATATCAACTGGGAAATTATGCGGAACGCATTACGCAAGAGAGATATTACTGGGCATCCTTTTTATTGTATCGTATGTTTTCGTAATGTTTTTGAAAATAGGTCCTTATCTAATGAAAAGGTACTTTGGTATTCAAGAATCAAGATTATTATACCAACCACATCGATAAATCTACTTCCAAATAAAAAATCTTTCTAACCTAGATAAACAAAACCCTAGATAAACCGTAAAACATTGTACACCCTCAGGTTAGGTAAGGTTATAATTATTAGGTGTGGTGTGGTCGGTTTAATACCAACCAATGAAAATTCCATCTTTTTAAAGGGATGGTTCATCCCTTTGGAAATACGTTTGATGACAATTTCTTTCAATCTCTGTTAAACTTGTAAGGTGACGTATTTTAAATTATTTAGTTGTTTATCACAATAATTATCAACATATCGGCGAGAGAAAGAAAATGTTGAAGTAGTAGCATTCTCTATGAGTGGCTAATTTTAAATATGTTCTTTTATAATAAAGAAACTAGCTGTGTACCCGTTCTACGCACGGGGATCTTATAATATTCAGTTGAAACCTTCTTATATAAAGAACAGCAGTTGGTTTGCATATTTTAAGATATGCTGGCCAAACTATTATACATAGCTTCATTTTATGTTGTTTTTTGTTGTTCCGGATCGGTATGACAATCAATAAAAGGTTAAATTACCTCTGTGTCTGCCGGTCGATCCTATAACGGTAGGCTTACTTTTATTTTTACTATCTGATCTCGTTTGCATGGCTCAATCACGTCCTGGTTGAAGTTCGTTCGCTACGCTCACTCACCTGTATGTTGGAGCTCGTTCGCTGCGCTCACTTTCCTTCAGGTTAGCTCGTTCGCTACGCTCACTTGCCTTCAGGTTAGCTCGTTCGCTACGCTCACTCGCCTCCAGGTTGCAAATTAGCTGTTGTCATAAATGTAAAAGAAATAATAGTGCTAGTGCTGCACCCTGTTGGTAATCCTTGTAACTTTAATGCTATTGAACATCACAGAACAGAACCAACTTGTTTAATTGAAACAGCTGTTAAGATTCAATAATTTCATTTCTCATAAGGTTAACATGGGCTTCCAGAAATTCCACGTCAAAAATCGACAAAAACTTGATTTTCAAGGGTTTACTGTTAAATATCTAACTGTCTCATATTCGATGAAATACGTCTAAAACCATCTCATATATGTATAGTATTTGGAAAATAAGTTTCAGGCGGGACAGTGCTATAGTTATTGAGGAGTAGTTGTAATAAAGTGCGTATTTTAGCGTTACCAAGAGAATGACAGATAGACAGACAGACAGACAGACAGACAGACAGACAGAAATTGAGATAAGGTTTGATTCGGTTTCTCTGACCTATGAAATGTAAAAATAACCAAAAAGTTCATTATTCTAAGCAATGTACAGACAAAACTCTAATTTTATTTATATAGATTGGCTACAGTTGGTCCATATACATGGGATGTCTAACCTAGCATTGTATAGTCAATTCTTTTACTTCTTACCATAAAATACTCTCCAAGCAGATTTCGTAGTATTAAAATTCATTGACCAAACCGTTTTAAAAAAAACCTTAAACCTTATATTGTACTAAGTAATACGTTTTTCTATATTTAAACATTCAAGTAGTTTAGAGACATGGATTTAAATTCTACAGAACCCTTGATGAATTCATATGATATGAATTATTACAACTGCAGCTGAATAGGTTAAATTGATCACACAAATTTTCAATTCACTTGACTGAAGGTCAATTTGAAAAAGGAGTAAAAAATATGCGGTGAAGTGACATACTGGGAGAAGCTGGTAATAAATATCTTTCGATAAAGCGCACCGCTGGGCTATAAATACATGCGCGAACGCCGCGAACGTGCTTCCAACCAGCTCCGACCTGCCGCTGCTATAACAGCTGACTGATATGGGCCTACAATGTAGTGTGGTTAATACAATGTGCTAATGTTGCTGATATACATTGTGATGCGGTTCTTTTGCTGATTCCTACCCTCAAAGCATTAACAGTAATCCTTTAGACGACAGCTAGTATTTAATTTTATACATGTACAGTCTTTGAATGACATATACTTAAACGTTTTATTGGAAATTGTGAAAATGAAAATGTCCCAAACAAAATAAACTTGTCTTGTGAATACGAGCATTTAAAATAGTACACAATTTTGTCGCGATTACTACTTAAGTGGGGTTTTGTTTGAGAAACTATGGAATTGACTCTTGCTGTGGCAAGTAAAGTGAATTAAAAAGTTAGTAAAAAAAGAGCCGATTTAGTTGCTTCCTCATAACAAAGCCTTCGATGATAAAATTGCTGTCAACACACAACTGATTAACTTTTATTCTGGTTGATAAACATTTGCCATATAACCTTTAAACACCTTTGTGGTCCCACAAGAATGTTTCAACCAATAAAGCTTTCCAAGGTGAACTAATTTTCAATCCAGTCGCTATCCGGAGTCCATATTCGTGCGGAAAGACTACAGAGGAAACGTTAACTTAACATCAAAGGATCTTCTAACGGACTGGCTATAGTCAGGAAAGTTCTGCTTCGATGCAGACAACAACCGATTTTAACGATGGTTCAACAACTTGTTTTCTCATAAACAATTCTTGGTAAACAATAATTGTCTCCTGTTATCTTTGGGTTTGCTGAACTGAAGATGTCCGTGAAGTTTTCGTGTTCAAAATAGGTATATTGAGAAACAAAACCAGTACGAGTTGTACTTCACTAGTTTTTTCCGTTTGATTTAAACAAAATGTTTTTCGTTCGATTAATTAGTAGTTCTTATTTTTGAATTATATTCTTAACTTTTCGCTTTCCCTGTAGCAACCTTAGAACTCAATAAATGTTATTTAAGTAAGGAATCAACATGACAAAGAAATATTTGAGTAAAAATCTAACCAGACAAATAGAAATTGGCCTAGTCAGCAGGTTTGCTGCGATTGAATTTGTGCAATGAACCACATCACATAAAACAATACCGTACATTGCGTGACTGTAGACTGTCACACTGCGGCCTTGTCGTGTATACATTGTCTGCTGCACTTTATATCATCTTTAATAGATTTGATGCATGAAAACAATACACTTTACTATAACCGTCACTTCCTGGTACGGTCTCCCTTTCTATCATTTTTTCTGTGATACTCCTTATCAAGGTTTTACTCCTTTAGCGACGAAATTGTTCTTTTCAGCTTCAACCTGGCAAACTTGTATCTTCGGCCTGGACCAAGACAATTTTAGCGTGTTTGAATTGCAATGTATTTATACTCCTTATCAAGGTGTAACCCTTTCACTGACAGATTTGTCCCTTTTCCAGCGTGGACCGCGACCGGATGCGGGAGAAGGAGCGGCAGGCCCGGGCGCAGATGTCCTCTGCCGCCGAAAGGGAGGCAGACGCGGCAGGACCTCTTTTCGGCGGGCCCATCAGGGTGAGTTGAAAATTACTAGCTTTTGCTGTGTGTGTGTGTGTGTGTGTGTGTGTGTGTGTACTCAAATTTCACCATAGTTCGTTGTTTTTCATTTTTTTCGTGTTTGTCTTTTGTTGTACAATTTATTTTAAAATAGTATGCAAAATTTTAAAGATTCGTGGTGTCATACATTTGTTTACATGATGTTAAAATTGATCATGTGTTTTTAAATATTTGCAAAGACAAAATCAATTTTACAAAATACTATTGCCGATGGGAAACATAATTTCATTGTCATGGGAAATTACGATACTACAAACAAATGAGTTCTAATTATTTCAGAAAATAATACAACCTCTTCATTAGTTAAATTATATTTCCACGCGTTTTTATTGATGGTGAAATTTTTGTGCCTTTTGTCTAATCAATAGAGTTTACTTTATATTAACTTATCATCCGCTACAATTTACACTTGTATCCTCCACGAAAAACTGCAACTCTTTAACTCTTCTGTTAAAACACAAGCAATTTTGACACTAATCTTAACGCGGTTTTTACCCAAGCCACCTGCCCTAGCAATATACTAAATTGTCCCATTGTTGAATAAGCTCGGATCTAGTAGTGTGTTTGGGGTATGCATAATTCATCAGGAAGCTTCGTTTAAGGTCGACCTCTCCTCATTTAATAAACTACTTCAGTTCTGGCCTGTTCCCGTGCACGTGATCAAGTATGTGTTTGCTGAACGAAATATAATTCGTTAACTATTCCAGCTAGGATTATTGACTTCAAAATTAGACTTTGAAAAAATTAATAGTGAGTTCTATTCAAATAAAAAATGCAACTACAGTTAATCCACATACACGGGACTTTGACCACCCAGTACAGTATAATTTAGTGCGTGTTCTTCGAAAAAAAGCTACCTTTTTTCGAAAAGAAATTACCCAATATCTCTATCGTGGATATTTTATTATGTAATTTTTTAAGGAAGAAATTTCACGAAAATTCGCCCTATTGTAAGGGTAGGTTTGAAAGGGTACGGCTTAATTAACAGTGGCAGTAAGCTGGGACGGTTTAGACCGAATCATTCATCGCATTTGGGATTCCTTCTGCACCCGTGACCTCTACAGGTTGTGTCATTTATACAATACTGAACTTTTGGTTAGAGTTTTAACAAATATCTTATAGTTACCTACGTTCTAGATGACTAACTGAATTATTCGAAAAGCCAAAAGGTCATTCACGTAATTTTTAACATTTCCAAATACAGTAGTACATAAAACGAGTAGTTTTGCCATTCTACAACTACTCTGTTCTTATTTATGTTTACAAATTAACTTTCATTCTTACCTTACCTATTAGGCCACTCAAACCTCAGAAAGTTTTTGACCTCGCCATTTCTCTGTCTTGCATTGGATCAAACTTTCATTCTGCCAATTAAAATTGTTAATGTTTTTCTTTTAATTTTTCCTTCGGCGTTTCAATTATTTCTAATCATTCATCACTATCACGTTAGGTTGATTTTGACTGGTCCACTGTTTAAACTGTGGAAAAACACAGTTTAGGTTAGTTTAGTTTATATAGCTTTACTCGCACTCGTTTATCAACTGAACAGAGTAAAAACTTATATTTGTAGGTAAACTTTAATTAGTGGCGGTCCTCTTCTGAAAAATACCCGATTGGTTCGGTTTATGAAGGTTAAGGTGGTTTACATAACATTCGTTTGCATAGTGCAAATTTTAAAAGTGGGTTCCTTCAGAGAAGAAAAAAGGGGCCATGAACTTTTTGAAACTTCGTCTTTGACGGTTCTTCGTGTATTAATTTTTTCATAAAATACATTTTAACTAACCCAGCCTATATCAAGCTGCTGTAAAATGTTTTTTTAATTCCCCCATGTTATGTTAAAGATACCAAAACGTGTATCGCCAACACAAGGGTCTTATAACGTCACTGGTGACGATGCTACGTGTTGTTGTCATGGCAACGAAGAGTCAAATAATCATCTTTCAACTGGGAAACACTACGGTCACTCGCTGTTTGTGTTTTGTTGCATTGATTAGGGTTTTAGATTATCTTTTAACAGAAGATTGTAGGGATATTTCGGCCAGACGCTAAAGTAGTGAGAGAGCTCGAGTTTATCTCAGTTGTCATGTAGCGACAGCTGGTCAGATATAGTATTTGAAGGTTCCCCGGTTCGATCCTGTGAAAGTCCAAAAGTTTTCTGGTGGTTTTAGACCTAGCTCAGTATTGACTCACTAAAATATTATATTTAGTTAAAAAAAAGGCCCTTTTCCTAAAAATAGTTTAGAAGAAGATCGCTACGACCAGTGTTCTTTAATACGAGTTCATTTTTTATTCCAATACAAGCTTTCTAAATTTTAAGTAGCCTAAATTGTTTAAGTTTTTAAATGTTATGAACAACTTTGTATTGGAAAATAGTGAAACAACTATGCACATTATACAAACCAATACACGAACGCAATACAGAATGCAGACTTTGCATACATTACTATAGCATTAGTTAATGCCACAGTCCCACAAAAGCCTACTGTAGTGGAGTTAGCATTACATATCAATGGCCAATACGTTTATATCACCGTTCAGACTGGTGATGAATAAAATAGATGAACTGCAAATGAACTGTTAAGCGTAAATTGGGCGAGGTGTTTCTATGTTTGTGTTAGGAAATTGATTTAATTTAGATATCAAAGTGCAATTAAAATAATTTAACCCTTTTTAGGCTTAAACATTTTTGTATGAATTTATTTAAGAGTAAACAAGTAGCAATGTGGCGGATCTTTTTTAATTATAAGCATGGATAATTATTACAAGGTTTCATAATATTGCACCTATTTAACGTTGGGGTAAATTGTTTGTTTATGTTTTTTTTTCAACTGTTTAAAAAAAATAATATTTAACCAACCAATTAAAAAGCCTATGAATTGAAATTGGGTAAAATGCTTATGATACTCTGTTGTGAAAAAAATTAAAAATAAAATACACTGTGTGGTCTAAAAATGAGTGCTCCAAAAAGTTGTACATGAAAAAAAATAATGTTCAACAAAAGTATTCAAAACCTGCAATGCAATATAATATTAAATTTAACACATTTGTTTCTAAATTGTTGAAATTATGACAAAATTGAGATGGTTTTAGACGCTTAAACCAAGTATCGTAAATTATATTAGAATTCGTAATTATATTAGAAATGATTATTTTTAATGTGTTGAATTCAAGTACTTTGGTTTCAATAAGCAAACCACGTTTTGGTAGTTCAACAATCTGTTCAACGTGCAACCCAATTATAATTTAATTTCATCATTAACCGAAACCGTTGAAGCGGGAGGTTGAACATCTGAAATTGAGTTGCCCTTAAGCTTTGAATTCTCATTGACGTGCTGTAATTAATCAGGCTGTGTAATCTGTTTAAATGTGTTAATGGCCGCGAATAAAATGTTAGCGTTACAATTATATTTTGATCATTTTACTTAATTCATTCATGGTTGAAGTAGAAGAATGCATGTAACTAATGTAATGTTAACATTCAAATTGTATATTTAATGTATAAAAACGTACTCTAACAAGACAATATTTGAAACTCAATTATTACGAGTACCTATAAATGTTTGTAGGTATATACATTTTAATATACTACTGTGTCTGTTTAAGTCGACAACAATGACTTAAAATATCATGTCATTTTGCCAGCTATGAAATTTGCAACTTACCCCATAACCCTGGGGGGGGGGGGGTGTTAATGAAAGTCATAAAATGATAAAGAACTAAAAGCTTAAACTTTGGAGAACCCGATGTACAGTTTTGAAATGAAAATCTATGGTCAAATGCCACATGATATTATGACGGAGTCTAGTCACATCATAAATGTTGATTATAAATATTTTGCATGGCATTTTGTGGAACGACTTTTCGAATAAAGAAAAGGTTCTCGCTTGAAAGTTGTTTCTTCTTTTTCTTATAAATGGATTGTTCAACAGACGTGGGTTTTGAATCACCTGGGTTTACAGTATTATAAAACCGCTACATCTCATTAATGGTTGACGTGATTTGAACTAAAACACCCAGTGGCCTGTTTCATAACAAACTACAAGTTATAATTTGTAATTTAATTTCCCTTAGATTTGCATTAGGTGATCTGCTGATTCACTAATGATATTAGTTTGTAGTTTATTATGAAAAAGGTCCCAGATCAGAAGTCCCGCGCTCAATCATTAATGATGAGCTAAGTGTTTGAAATGTTTCAACATTGTTCTACATGAAAGTATTGAAACCCAAAATTGACTTTAGCGTATCACGGTGAAGGACTTGGCTTTGGTTGAGGTTATTCACTAATTCATAAACTTATCAAAGCAGCTTCTCAACTCTGTTCAGACCCTAACAAACTTTTACTCTCGTTCGCGGTTACAACGAAATGTTTTGTTGTACATTTTGGTCGAAATTGTTAAAAAATATTTTGTTAAAATTGTTGTGGTAGTCATCCAACTACTACATCGGTACTTTTGGATGGGAATGTTTTATTGATATGATGTTTATATGATTTTAAAAACAAGTTTTGTGATTCTTATAATTTCTCTGATTTTTATTTTCGGGCAAATCTAAGTTTTCTTTGAGCCAATGGTAATACCCTTGTAAAAAATTTAATATGGTAGAATGGCATGGATCTAAACTTTAAATTTATTTTTATTCATTGGTTTCATGTTTTATGGCGATTTTTACTTAATTTTTAGTAGCATAATTTTGTTTTCTTACTCTTAATGCACATTTGTAAACAGAGTATTAAACTGCTTTGCAAATAGTCGAGTTGAAAGGCGACTGTAGCAATAAGGGAGAAGCAGGTAGAAATCCCTTTGATATTCGGGGTCCTACTCTACTTGATTTTCTCCTTGCGGATTTGCTAAGTGAAAGGGGCGCTGTACTTTTATGCAAATACGTATAAAATCATATTATCTTGTAATGTTAATCGGCGAGAAAATAATAGAAGGGAATTTTAACTTTGTAACTGTTAA